ATAACATATCTTTTTGTGTTGACCGAAGCTGCCAAAAGTAATAACATGTCTCTATAAGTTGACCGAATCTGCCAAACGTCATAACATGTCTATATGTGTTGACTGAAGCTGCCAAAAGTCATAATATGTCTATATGTGTTGACTGAAGCTGCCAAAGAACATAACATGTCTATATGTGTTGACTGAAGCTGCCAAAAGTCATAACATGTCTATATGTGTTGACTGAAGCTGCCAAACGTCATAACATGTCTCTATAAGTTGACCGAAGCTGCCAAAAGTCATAATATGTCTATATGTGTTGCCTGAAGCTGCCAAAAGTCACAACATGTCTATATGTGTTGCCTGAAGCTGCCAAAAGTCATAATATGTCTATATGTGTTGCCTGAAGCTGCCAGAAGTCATAACATGTATATACCTGCTGACCGAACCTGCCAAAAGTCATAACATGTCTATATGTGTTGACTGAAGCTGCCAAAAGTCATAACATGTCTATATGTGTTGACTGAAGCTGCCAAAAGTCATAACATGTCTATATGTGTTGCCTGAAGCTGCCAAAAGTCATAACATGTCTATATGTGTTGACTGAAGCTGCCAAACGTCATAACATGTCTATATACAGGGTGTCCCGAAAGTATGGGGGCCCCCCTAGGCAGACATATTCCAGTGTCCTCATAGTATGTGTCATATATCATTTTAAAGCTTATCCAAAGTTACATTGATTTGCCAAGTATCATGGTTTAACTCCCAAATGGTAAAAAGTTACAGTCATTTTAAAAGTTAGTGTTTTGTCAAAATAAAGTTCAATTTTACACCACATTACTAGTCAATGAGTCCCCCCTTGGCCATGTTAACACCCGCAATTATTTTCAGATATGACCTTAAAAGCCCTTCAAATAGCGGTGTGGAATTTTATAACCTTCTTAAAACCTGTTAAGGCACTTTAGAAGAGTTTCCTTAGAGTTTCTACCCTCACCGTTCTCTTTTTCCAACTCAATATCCATCCGACCCGATAAAGATTGCTGCTGCTTTAGATGGCCCAGGAGGACACATTGACGACTGATTTGGTGTAAAATTGAACTTAATTTTGACCAAACACTAAATTTTGAAATGCCTGTAATTTTTTCACATTTGAGAGTTGAACCATGATACTTGGTGAATCAATGTAACTTTGGATAAGCTTTAAAATGATATATGACACATACTATGACGACACTGGTATATGTCTGCCTAGGGGGGGCCCCATACTTTCGGGACACCCTGTATGTTGACTGAAGCTGCAAAGAGTCATAACATGTCTATATGTGTTGACTGAAGCTGCCAAACGTCATAACATGTCTCTATAAGTTGACTGAATCTGCCAAAAGTCATAACATGTCTATATGTATTGACTAAGCTGCCAAAAGTCATAACATGGTTATATAATGGGATGACTGAAGCTGCCAAAAGTCATAGCATGTCTATATGTGTTGACTGAAGCTGCCAAAAGTCATAACATATCTATATGTGTTGACTGAAGCTGCCAAACGTCATAACATGTCTATATGTGTTGACTGAAGCTGCCAAACGTCATAACATGTCTATATGTGTTGACTGAAGCTGCCAAAAGTCATAACATGTCTATATGTGTTGACTGAAGCTGCCAAAAGTCATAACATATCTTTTTGTGTTGACCGAAGCTGCCAAAAGTAATAACATGTCTCTATAAGTTGACCGAATCTGCCAAACGTCATAACATGTCTATATGTGTTGACTGAAGCTGCCAAAAGTCATAATATGTCTATATGTGTTGACCGTAGCTGCCAAATGTCATAACATGTCTATATGTGTTGACCGAAGCTGCCAAATGTCATAACATGTCTATACGTGCTGACCAAATCTGCCAAACGTCATAACATGTCTATTTGTGTTGACAGAAGCTGCCAAAAGTCATAATATGTCTATATATGTTGACCGAAGCTGCCAAACGTCATAACATGTCTATACGTGCTGACAGAACCTGACAAAAGTCATAACATGTCTATATGTGTTGACCGAATCTGCCAAAAGTCATAACATGTCTATACGTGCTGACCGAACCTGCCAAAAGTCATAATATGTCTATATGTGTTGCCTGAAGCTGCCAAAAGTCATAACATGTCTATATGTATTGACTGAAGCTGCCAAAAGTCATAACATGTCTATATGTATTGACTGAAGCTGCCAAAAGTCATAGCATGTCTATATGTGTTGCCTGATGCTGCCAAAAGTCATAACATGTCTATATGTGTTGCCTGAAGCTGCCAAAAGTCATATTACCTGTCTATATGTGTTGACCGAAGCTGCCAAATGTCATAACATGTCTATATGCGTTGACTGAAGCTGCCAAATGTCATAACATGTCTATGTGTGTTGCCTGAAGCTGCCAAAAGTCATAACATGTCTATATGTGTTGACTGAAGCTGCCAAAAGTCATAACATGTCTATATGTGTTGACCGAAGCTGCCAAAAGTCATAACATGTCTATATGTGTTGACCGAAGCTGCCAAAAGTCATAACATGTCTATATGTGTTGACTGAAGCTGCCAAAAGTCATAATATGTCTATATGTGTTGACCGAAGCTGCCAAAAGTCATAACATGTCTATATGTGTTGACCGAAGCTGCCAAATGTCATAACATGTCTATACGTGCTGACTGAACCTGCCAAAAGTCATAATATGTCTATATGTGTTGACTGAAGCTGCCAAAAGTCATAACATGTCTATATGTGTTGACCGAAGCTGCCAAAAGTCATAACATGTCTATATGTGTTGACTGAAGCTGCCAAAAGTCATAACATGTCTCTATAAGTTGACCGAAGCTGCCAAAAGTCATAACATGTCTATATGTGTTGACCGAAGCTGCCAAAAGTCATAACATGTCTATATGTGTTGACTGAAGCTGCCAAAAGTCATAACATGTCTCTATAAGTTGACTGAACCTGCCAAAAGTCATAATATGTCTATATGTGTTGACTGAAGCTCCCAAAAGTCATAACATGTCTATATGTGTTGACCGAAGCTGCCAAAAGTCATAACATGTCTCTATAAGTTGACCGAAGCTGCCAAACGTCATAACATGTCTATATGTGTTGACTGAAGCTGCCAAAAGTCATAACATGTCTATATGTGTTGACCGAAGCTGCCAAATGTCATTACATGTCTATATGTGTTGACCAAAGATACCAAAAGTCATAACATGTCTATATGTGTTGACAGAAGCTGCCAAAAGTCATAACATGACTATTTGTGTTTACAATAAATATCTCAGGTCTGTGCAATGTCGAACGTAATACCCGGAACGTTCGCAAATTGGCGTTCGGTTTTTTACCGCATCCGATTTGAATTAGCCAATAAACATGATAGGGGTGTGAAAACTTGAAATTTATTCTGACGATGTGTCTCCCCCCTCTCTTGACATAAAGTCCAGAGCTGAATATTTCAGCACATGTTGATGATTGGTAAGTAAAAAAAATCTATCCTTATAACGTAATATATTTTCTATAGTTCAGTGAATTACGGTCATGAACCGTTCGGAAACAACAGTTAAAACAAAGATTGTCCGCGTCCGTTTTGATTGCTCTGACAAGAAACCAACGGGGTCTTCTCATAAAATGTTTATATATATTCAAAGTTAAAATTTTAAGTCAGTCTAAACAGTAGTTGTTAAGTTATTGGAAATTGTAAGAATTTCTTACAGACAGACCCCGAAACCCCTTCCTGAAGGAGCCCTGTGTTCTTTTATGTGCACCCATACAGACATACAAGTACACACCACAGAGTTATGGACCACTCAGTCAAACATCCTGAATAACTTTACACAACAAAAACAAATTGCATTTGTATTGGCGATTGGCGATTGGTCATACATATAGGTTGGCAGTTCAATTTTATATGCAAGCTTAAACCCCCTATTGCCTGAACCATGCAGGGATCGAATCCAGGGAGTTATTGCATACATGGGTGGACTATAACAATATGCCTTGTATGGTGTCATACAAGCCAAGTAAGTTTCTGGCTTTTCCCCTTGATACGATGTGAGCCATTTTGCTATACATGATTAATTATCAATTGAACCCACTTTATATAGCAGGTGAATTTGAGAGAACAATTGAAATATATCACTTAGTTCTATGAATCATGCTCTATCTTCTTTATGAAGAAATAAAAATGAGCATAATTAGTTTTATCACAGGAAATCCATTTCAACAATATCTAAAAATGCTAAGAAAAAGCACTCTCTCATTTCTAGTTTTCTTTTGCTACCCGATTCTTTTAATACTATTCATTGTACAGTTCTTGAAAACAGCTTTTCCAGAAAGTCTCTTTATGAAGACTTTGTATCCCAATATTCAAGATGCAAGTAGAAATAGTCTTGATTTACATCATTAAATATCCCAAATTTAGTCAAAATGACTTCATATTTGAAGTCTGAAGTCTACATGTATAATTACATCTAGAAATGTGGTTTAAAAAATGTTTATCAACTTTGAATTTTATTTGCTGTGAAAATATGACTTTGAGGTCAGAGAGATTCCCCATAGACCCGATGTTATAAAATCACAAAAGCTGATATCAAAAGCTGACATATCCTTCTTGTGTTGGAGAGATAATATTTTCTATTACTACATATTTTAATTTGTACATATTTAATTTGTATAATTATCAGACACAAAAGGTTTATATGAAAATTGATCCACTTAAACTGATGAATATTGGAGTTTAAGGGAACTTTCTAAGATTCTGCCATGTTACATGTATCTGACCCGAATTAGTTACCTATGTATCTGACCCTAATTAGTTACCTGCTGATGGAACTGGTAACTAACCTACTGGCATCTGGGTTATTGTACAGAGACTTTATAGATATCGTGTATAGAATTGTGATTCCTTTCACACCAAACATCGTATAAAATCTGAGTCTATGGGGTCAAAGGTCATTTAAAATTGTTTTACTTAGCAATGGTATCTACATGACACTTACCTCCATCATTTGCGATCACTTCATCTGTTTCATCAATTTCAACAACATCTTTTTCTCCACTTTCATTTTCAAGACCAATTACGGGTGTGCTGTCTTTCCTAAATAATGTCCCTTTCTTTCCTGCGTTATTATTTCGCTCATTTTTAGTACTCTCCATATTTTCTAGTCTGTTTGTTTTCTCCGTTAGCACTTTGGGATCATTGAGTAAGTTTGAATCTTTTTTGCTATGATTGGCTGACGATTTATCACTCATATTGTCGACTAAAAAATCTAAATTCTGTCTGTCAGGATCTTGATCTGGATCGCTGTTCTCTGATTGGTCGATTAAAATGGGTGAAGTCACATGTCGTAATTCAGCATTTGGACTTATAGCTGAAAATAAATAAATAATTATCAAATTAGGTCAAAGTTCGGACAACATTTTAGAGAAATCTGAGGGGGCAAGCCCCTGATCTTTTCCTTCCTAGCTACATGCCACTGAAAATCATAGTGTGATATGACCAGAAGTTTCATTAAACACATATATACAATGTTATAAATGAACATTTTGATGGTATTGTGTCAAAATCCAACCAGTTTATCACCAAAATAACTTGAGAACATCAGCAGCAATCAGTCTTATATTCAAAGAATCATCAGTCCAGAGTGACGTTCAATATAACCTTCAATATAAACTCCGTCTGCTGAATAAAAATTTCATTTTCCTCCCTAAAATTTGATAGAAGTTACAAATTGCCTGGCATTTTTATACAATTGATAATCTGTCCTTCAAGGCTGTATATGTAGCATGTGGAATAATCCTAATTTTCCTGCTCTATTTTGCATGAAAAACTTGACCTTCGTAACATGTTCTCCAAGGGTATTACTTCTACAGGTATGCTTTTATATCTTACCATGTGCCCTAATTACTTGAATGGTCTAGTATATTAATACACCAGTTACGAACAGCTAGACGTAATTACATAGCTACGTCAAGTCATTTATGTCATACTGCGATCACTATATTTCATGGAGTTTGCGTTTCAGTGTAACTTCCGCAAAAATGGCGTGACATGGACAGAATTAACAGGTAAAATCACTTCGAAATTTCAAGAGAACTTTTTACCTATAATAGCAAAACTTTTGTTTTATTTGTGCATTCTATCTATCAGATAAGAGTCTCAGGGGTATGTAGGCAAATTCATTTTGATAGGAGCACTCTGTTTAGTTTGAAAACGCACCCTTAATTATTATATATCAGCACTGTATATATACACTGCTCAATATGTACAGTCTATACTGTATATGGTAAAATCTTTCCTATCAAAATGCCACTAAGATAGGCCAAAAATGTTCTAATAACAGGTGCTCACATTTTTAGGTTTCTTTGACAAATATGGACTAGATTGGAGATTACTAAATTGGGACTTAGACAAAGTGCTCATATTGAGGGGTGTTCAGATTATGCAGGTGTTCAGAAATACAGATACCTCTTCGTACCAATCAAATAGGGCTATAGGGTACTATGTGTTCAGTCAATTGTTTGTTATTTCTCTAAAGGACAACAGGAATACTCAACTTAGAAATTAGCTTACTTCATATTTCTTTCCCTGTAATTTCTGCAGATTTAATAAGATTCACCAGGTATTTTACCCTTTGGGAGAATTTCATGCATTTTCAATAACCACTTTTTTCTCTAAAACATCTTATTGAGGAGTTAAATTTTTACATTTTTATTCAAATTAGTTTCAACACTTGAGGTTTTAATCCTCAGGTTTTCATGTTTTTCATACAGTTGTTGGAATTTTTGAATGGTCTTTCTCTTGTAATAAAGCCTATGAGATGGATAAGATGACAAATGATTTTTCTCCCCAGGGAATTGTATTCAATATTTGTACATAATCATGGTTGTGTTTTTCAAATGTAAAATAGAGTGAAAGAGTGAAATCAGCAAGGAATAAAGTAAACAGGCAATGGTGGTAAACACTTTGAATTGTATAGAAATGAAAGAAAATCTGACAGTGCAATTGTGCATATTTAAGGCTGCATGTATATGACCACATATACAATGGTGCATGTTTAAGGCTGCATATAGAGGATCACATTTACTATGGTGCATGTTTAAGGGTGCATGTATAGGAGCACATTTACAATGGTGCATGTTTAAGGGTGCATGTATAGGAGCACATTTTCAATGGTGCATGTTTTAGGGTGCATGTATAGGAGCACATTTACAATTGTGCATATTTAAGGCTGCATGCATATGAGTAGAGAGAAATTGAGTGAAATGAGCATGAACATTCCGATATTATAAGCAAATTAGATACTGAACATATTTCATGAATCATCCGATAACTAAATGCCTTAACACCCGTTTACTTGCTGATTTCACCCTTAGTTCTCTTTATATTGCATTTCAAAATATTAGTGCTCTGATTATTTCTACATTAACAGAATGCGTGTTATAAAATCATTGTTTAGAGGGTGTAATTAGTCAATAATTGACATCATGTTTGTAGATTTCCTGGATGGTGAAAGAAAGTCTTGCAAAAGAAGAAGAAAATGAGAGATTCTATCCTATTCTTAATCACCAACTGTATTGTGCTATATCTAATTACTATGGCTGTTCAAAAGGCCTAGCAATCTTTTAACTCTTTAATCACATTTATAGAAAAAAAATTAACCTCTTGACTACCTGGAGCTAAGTTGAGAATTTAATGTCAAAAGGTGGCAAAAATGAAAAATTCTCTGGTTTCATCCCATATTTTAGAGTCTTGGATTCAAGAGGTAAAAATCTCCTACAAAACTGCCTCTTTAAAAAATGCTCCACTATTAAATTTGAAATATCTTTAAATAGTCAAAAACACATAGTCCACATCATGTGAATGTTTGTTTTAAAGTCCTATCAATCATACCAGACAAAGAATGACCTGAAATCCTCCCATGATGCAATACTCATTTATGTACCCCCTTCAGACAAATCTGACTCATTAAGAAGATGAATTACATAAAGGAACTGCACTCATTACATAAAGGGGAGAATATCAGACATGAGTAGATGCCTTGGAGGCTTTCAACATTGAGAGCTTTATAATTACAGCTATTCTGAATGAAATCAATAAAGGCAGTCATGTCAATCAAAGTGATTTCACTGATATGTGCAAATGACCTTAACACACTTTAAAGGCTTTGAAAGGAGAGGGAGAGTCCCTGTCAAATGACACTCCCTTGGCTTTGACATTGCTCCTTCAGGAGACTCCCTTGGCTTTGACAATGCTCCTTCAGGAGACTCCCCTAGCTATGAAAATGCTCCTTCAGGAGACTCCCTTGGCTTTGACATTGCTCCTTCAGGAGACTCCCCTAGCTATGAAAATGCTCCTTCAGAAGACTCCCTTGGCTATGACAATGCTCCTCCAGGAGACTCCATTGGCTTTGACAATGCTCCTTCAGGAGACTTGGCTGTGATAATGCTCCTTCAGGAGACTCCCTTGGCTATGACAATGCTCCTTCAGGAGACTCCCTTGGCTATGACAATGCTCCTTCAGGAGACTCCCTTGGCTTTGACATTGCTCCTTCAGGAGACTCCCTTGGCTTTGACAATGCTCCTTCAGGAGACACCCTTGGCTTTGACAATGCTCCTTCAGGAGACTTGGCTGTGATAATGCTCCTTCAGGAGACTCCCTTGGCTATGACAATGCTCCTTCAGGAGACTCCCTTGGCTTTAACAATGCTCATTCAGGAGACTCCCTTGGCTTTGATAATGCTCCTTCAGGAGACACCCTTGGCTTTGACAATGCTCCTTCAGGAGACTCCCTTGGCTATGACAATGCTCCTTCAGGAGACTCCCTTGGCTATGACAATGCTCCTTCAGGAGACTCCCTTGGCTTTGACAATGCTCCTTCAGGAGACTCCCTTGGCTTTGACAATGCTCCTTCAGGAGACTCCCTTGGCTTTGACAATGCTCCTTCAGGAGACTCCCTTGGCTATGACAATGCTCCTTCAGGAGACTCCCTTGGCTATGACAATGCTCCTTCAGGAGACTCCCTTGGCTTTGACAATGCTCCTTCAGGAGACTCCCTTGGCTTTGACAATGCTCCTTCAGGAGACTCCCTTGGCTTTGACAATGCTCCTTCAGGAGACTCCCTTGGCTATGTTAATGCTCCTTCAGGAGACTCCCTTGGCTATGTTAATGCTCCTTCAGGAGACTCCCTTGGTTATGACAATGCTCCTTCAGGAGACTACCTTGGCTTTGACAACGCTCCTTCAGGAGACTCCCTTGGCTTTGACAATGCTCCTTCAGGAGACTATGATTTTATAGATGTTCCTTGTCTTCTATGACTCGATTTGTCTACTTGAGATATGTGTGTTCAAAACAAAAAGCAAACAATCGAAAAACAAACAAACAAGGAAACAAACAAAGACTATAATGATTATAATGAATTTAAGTCTTGGTTTGGAGACAAGTCTCAGTTTTGAGAACATTCTCTTGGGCTAATAACTTCTTATGAAAAATATAGAAACAACACCCAAATTAAATTATGAATATTCAAAAGAGGACATTTAAACCTACAAGATATAAAAATATCAAAATTGTCTGAAGCAGGCGTAACGTGCAGTACACCGATTCAATAATTCAAAAATACAAGTCTCAATTTGAAGAAAGTAGTTCAGTAGTGTACTGCGCTAATAGTTTTTTATGAAAAATATAGAAATATCACCCAAATTAAATTATGGATATTCAAAAGAGGATGTTTAAAATCTACAAGATACAAAAATATCAATATTGTCCAAAGCAGGGGTAACGTGCAGTAGACTGATGAACTTTGTTCTCCAAACTGAGAGTAGTCTTTTCTACTCACCATTATTATTCCTATTGGCTTGGTCTCCTGTAGCTCGAGGTGTTGGGGCTGGTGTAGCAGACTCCTGAAAATATGAATCTATTCATAAATTCAAATAAACTACAACATTGGATTGATGTAGTAGAAAAACACAGTATATTATTGGATAATTAAGAATGACTAAGGTATATAAGTGGACTTAATTATACACCTACCGTACATGTACATGTAATTTATACAATAACTCCAGTAGCAACTTTGGACAGATACATTTGTATCAAACCAACAATAACGTTAGACATCTTAAATATTTCGGAGCTGACTTATTAGGAATCTTTAAGTGATTAGGAAAAAGTCAAATAGTTTCTCATTTTGAATGCAGGTCACATTGGTATGTAAACCCCTCAAAAATCACATTTCAATTTAGATAAGTGACAACTGAGCTGCATTATTGAATTTGATGTTCAGTTCGTATATTTGGACACATAGACGTCTCATAAATGTCCAAGTTTGCTTGCTCAAAATATTTCAAATTCAAATAATACTCCCGCAGTAAAAATCAGAAGTCATGCTCCTTGACATTTTTTTCTCAAAAACTGATGAAATCATATTTTTGTTAATTGTATACAATTTCAGTGTCACATCATGCCTGTTGACTTTATTCCTTGCTGAATCCTCTCTTATTATCTATTTTACTTCTTATCTAGAGAACAAGCATTTGTTATTTTGCAGAGGAGTAGCATATTTGAGATGTTTTAGTAGAACAATAAGTGTCATCAAGAATTGTTTCAAATGGCAATTGTCAACAGGAAGGTCAATACTACATACATGTATAGTATTAAAACTGCAAGTGATTGCCATGTTCAATACTACATACATGTATAAAATTAAAACTACTAGTGATTGCCATGTTCAATACAACATACATGTATAGTATTAAAACTGCCAGTGATTGCCATGTTCAATACTACATACATGTATAGTATTAAAACTGCCAGTGATTGCCATGTTCAATACTACATACATGTATAGTATTAAAACTGCCAGTGATTGCCATGTTCAATACTACATACATGTATAGTATTAAAACTGCCAGTGATTGCCATGTTCAATACTACATACATGTATAGTATTAAAACTACCAGTGATTGCCATGTTCAATACAACATACATGTATAGTATTAAAACTGCCAGTGATTGCCATGTTCAATACTACATACATGTATAAAATTAAAACTACCAGTGATTGCCATGTTCAATACAACATACATGTATAGTATTAAAACTGCCAGTGATTGCCATGTTCAATACTACATACATGTATAGTATTAAAACTGCCAGTGATTGCCATGTTCAATACTACATACATGTATAGTATTAAAACTGCCAGTGATTGCCATGTTCAATACTACATACATGTATAGTATTAAAACTGCCAGTGATTGCCATGTTCAATACTACATACATGTATAGTATTAAAACTGCCAGTGATTGCCATGTTCAATACTACATACATGTATAGTATTAAAACTGCCAGTGATTGCCATGTTCAATACTACATACATGTATAGTATTAAAACTGCCAGTGATTGCCATGTTTTGGAATACAAAAAGGAAAAAGAGTAGAAAATGAAAGAATTAAATTGCAGAAACATGCCAAAATTAATTAAATTAATTTGTTTTTATCAATGATGGCCCCCATCTAGTTATTTAGATTTGACAGTGATGTTATTTGCTAGGCATTTTTACCTTTTTTATTGGACATGCATTTTCACATATTGAACATATATTACACATGTTAAACATGCATTTACACATATTGAACATGAATTTAAACATATTGAACATGCATTTACACAATTTTGAACATCCATTTACACATACTGGACATGCATTTTCACATGTTTAACATGCATTTACACATGTTGAACATGCATTTTCACATATTGGACATGCATTTTCACATATTGGACATGCATTTTCACATATTGAACATGTATTTACACATGTGAAACATGCATTTACACATGTTGAACATGCATTTGCAATCAACAACTACAGAAAGCTGAATCATAACTCAGCTTCACTTGCTGTGTTCCTCAGAGTCTCACCTATGTACTTTTCACAGAAGATATAGGCATTATAGCAAAGCAACATATCCATCACTATATATAGTAAAACCTATTTATATGAACACCTCTCTAATCTGAACAACTCTCAATGAGAACACTTTTTCTCTGTAGCAAATGTGTTATCTCCCTTTCACTTACATGTGTGAATGAGCATTGAAATGTGAACAACTTTGGCAGGCCCTAGAGGTGTTCACATTAGAAAGATTCTAATTGTACTTACCTTCAGCAAGTCTTCACTGGTAGGTGGCGTCCTGTCTCTTGGCGGGAATAGTTTGTTGCTATGGTGAGGGGAGATCAGACGTGTTGTCGTGTAAGCAGATTCAAATGGTTCTGGAAATACAGAAGAAATGACATGTTACAATTTATTTACAGGGTGACACAAAAAACACCACCCACTAATTTTGGAATAACTTTCTCGATAATTGAGGAATCTACATGATTTTTTGTGTAGATAAAGTGTTCTCTGGAAAAAAGATTGTTGTACTTTGATAGGCGTTCAGCATCAATATCTTTCAGATTTAGAGATATCATGTTTTCTGTAAAGGCATATGCACTCTGTGATATCATAAAAAAATGTCCAAACATTCACAATTTTCTGATATTTTGTCAAATTTGATGAACTGACTCTCTTATAAGGTAAATTTTAAGGAAGACAGATTTTCTAATTTACGGTTTTGTGTCGGAGCATGCCTACACGGAAAATGCAATATATCTCTTAATTTCCAAATTGTTGATTTTATGCAAGCATACCAATCTTTTGACCACTGAACACTCTAACTACACATAAAAAATCATGAAGATTCCTTAATTATTGAGAGAGTTTTTCCAAAATAAGTAGATGGTGTTTTTTGTGGCACCCTGTATATTCAAGATAATACTGAAACCTAAAAATAAATCAAAATATACCATAAATAATACCAAATGCTATCATATTTACAATTTACAAGTCTACTCAATCTAAGTTCTCAAACTACGCCATAGCTCTACTCAAAACTAAACACTTACTAGTAACTAGCTACATGCCTACTCAATTCAAACCATATGCCTCATTAATGAACCATTACTTCAAACCAACATTTTCAGTATTAATCATGTCAAACTTATGATACTCACATCAAATTCTGCCTTTACTCAAATCAAATCCTGATTACCAGACCTTAGAGTACAACTAATTTGAAGACTGCTTTCTTAAATGTGACTCAACCAATAAACCAATAACTACTCTTGAATCTTTCCCATTCTGAAAAATCAAATAACTAAACCATCATTTTCCAATTAATTCGTCAAATAATCATGTTTTTATACATCTACATTATATTTGAAATATTAAGTACAATGTCAAGATATTCCCAGGAGATTGTTTCCAGTTTTCTCATCATTTCAACAAAATGTGATTTAAAATGTGATTTTTCTCTATGTTCTGTTTCTCCATGGTTTGTGCTATCAAATGGAAAACATTACCACCTCACAAACAAAAGGGGTTACTTTATCAATGAAAAATGGTTGCATTACACTATTAATCAATTCATAAAAGCCACACTACAGCGCTTTGATACATCTCTGGCAAAAACCTGCAAATAAAGATCACCCAAATTAGCAACCTGTGTAAGATGAGAGGTATGACTAACACAATTTTTAAATTGTAAAAGTGCTTAACTGATCTGATAGGACAGTTACCTGGGTTACTGTTCTTTACCAAACAAGATATTTGACCAAAAACCTATAAAATGTTCACTGAGATAAGATATACCTCTGCTAAACAAAGCAACCCATTGAATACAACAACAAAATCAAAAAGGGGAATTTTTTAATGGTATTAACCAACCATTGAAATATAACTTATTCTAATAAATATTTTTTAAAAGGCAAAAATGCAATCATTCTTTTTTTATTGAAATTGGATAATTGGATTTGAAAATGAGGAAAACCTTAAAAGGTGTCTATAAAAACAAATGTCTCCTTTGGATTGATTAGCCTCTCTCTATCAATATCCAATATCTGACTTGCTAGTTCCTTCAACCCATCAAAAAAGACCATAGTGGATCCTCTTGTTTTAAAATGCAAAATAGAGTGGAAAGGTCTGGATTTAGCAAGGAATATATAAAAAACATATTACATTCAGTGGATATTTTAATTTGTTGAAATGAAAGGCTTCGTTCAAACTTTAGAGAGAGATGGAGTGAAAACCATGATTATTTTCACAATCATGAATATTATATAACTAATCACGATTTAATGTTGAAGTCTCACATTAAATCTGAACTTGAATAACAAATCAACAAAAAGTAAGAAAAAACAACCAAAAAGAGAAATTTTGAGAGAAAAAATTGTGTAAAATGTGTACGGAATTTTTTGGAAGGTCTGATTTTAAGCAAGCTCAGGGAATTACGTATTGATGACTGGGGAACTGATAGCAAATATTTTGCATCCTGCCAGCCAAAGTGTCCTATCAATTCTTTAACTGATAACATAAAATTTAACATTTTACATCTAAAATGTTATTTTTCAAGTTCTATAATTTCCAAGTCACACTTTTTATATAACAGAGGGTATAGCTTACTGTACATCATCACTTTATACATACATACACATCAACTTTAGTACAATCAACCTTTGACATATTCTGGATGATGAAGATTACAATACACAAACAATATATAAACTGGGAAATTATGAAGATTACAATACATAAACTGGGAAATTATGAAGAGAACAATTCATAAACTGGGAAATTATGAAGATAACAATATAAAAACTGGGAAATTATGAAGATAACAATATATAAACTGGGAAATTATGAAGATTACAATACACAAACAGGGAAATTATGAAGATTACAATACATAAACTGGGAAATTATGAAGATTACAATACATAAACTGGGAAATTATGAAGATAACAATATAAAAACTGGGAAATTATGAAGATAACAATACATAAACTGGGAAATTATGAAGATTACAATATAAAAACTGGGAAATTATGAAGATTACAATACATAAACTGGGAAATTATGAAGATAACAATACACAAACAGGGAAATTATGAAGATAACAATACGTAAACTGGGAAATTATTAAGATTACAATACATAAACTGGGAAATTATGAAGATTACAATACATAAACTGGGAAATTATGAAGATAACAATACATAAACTGGGAAATTATGAAGATAACAATACACAAACAGGGAAATTATGAAGATTACAATACATAAACTGGGAAATGAAGATTTAAATAGATAAACTGGGAAATTATGAAGATAACAATACACAAACAGGGAAATTATGAAGATAACAATACGTAAACTGTGAAATGAAGATTTAAATAGATAAACTGGGAAATTATGAAGATAACAATACGTAAACTGTGAAATGAAGATTTAAATAGATAAACTGGGAAATTATGAAGATAACAATATATAAACTGGGAAATTATGAAGATTACAATATATAAACTGGGAAATTATGAAGATTACAATACATAAACTGGGAAATTATGAAGATTACAATACATAAACTGGGAAATTATGAAGATAACAATACGTAAACTGGGAAATTATGAAGATTACAATACATAAACTGGGAAATTATGAAGATTACAATACATAAACTGGGAAATTATGAAGATAACAATATATAAACTGGGAAATTATGAAGATTACAATACATAAACTGGGAAATTATGAAGATAACAATACGTAAACTGGAAAAATTATGAAGATAACAATATATAAACTGGGAAATTATGAAGATTACAATACGTAAACTGTGAAATGAAGATTTAAATAGATAAACTGGGAAATTATGAAGAGAACAATTCATAAACTAGGTAATTATGAAGATAACAGTACATAAACTGAGACATTATGTAGATTACAATATATAACCTGGGAAATTATGAAGAGAACAATTCATAAACTAGGTAATTATGAAGATAACAGTACATAAACTGAGACATTATGTAGATTACAATATATAAACTGGGAAATTATGAAGATTACAATAAGTAAACTGTGAAATGAAGATTAAAATAGATAAACTGGGAAATTATGAAGAGAACAATTCATAAACTAGGTAATTATGAAGATAACAGTACATAAACTGAGACATTATGTAGATTACAATATATAACCTGGGAAATTATGAAGAGAACAATTCATAAACTAGGTAATTATGAAGATAACAGTACATAAACTGAGACATTATGTAGATTACAATATATAAACTGGGAAATTATGAAGATTACAATACGTAAACTGTGAAATGAAGATTTAAATAGATAAACTGGGAAATTATGAAGAGAACAATTCATGAACTAGGTAATTATGAAGATAACAGTACATAAACTGAGACATTATGTAGATTACAATATATAACCTGGGAAATTATGAAGAGAACAATTCATAAACTAGGTAATTATGAAGATAACAGAACATAAACTGAGACATTATGTAGATTACAATATATAAACTGGGAAATTATGAAGATTACAATACGTAAACTGTGAAATGAAGATTTAAATAGATAAACTGGGAAATTATGAAGAGAACAATTCATAAACTAGGTAATTATGAAGATAACAGTACATAAACTGAGACATTATGAAGATTACAATATATAACATGGGAAATTATGAAGAGAACAATTCATAAACTAGGTAATTATGAAGATAACAGTACATAAACTGAGACATTATGTAGATTACAATATATAAACTGGGAAATTATGAAGATTACAATACGTAAACTGTGAAATGAAGATTTAAATAGATAAACTGGGAAATTATGAAGAGAACAATTCATAAACTAGGTAATTATGAAGATAACAGTACATAAACTGAGACATTATGAAGATTACAATATATAACCTGGGAAATTATGAAGAGAACAATTCATAAACTAGGTAATTATGAAGATAACAGTACATAAACTGAGACATTATGAAGATTACAATATATAACCTGGGAAATTATGAAGAGAACAATTCATAAACTAGGTAATTATGAAGATAACAGTACATAAACTGAGACATTATGTAGATTACAATATATAAACTGGGAAATTATGAAGATTACAATACGTAAACTGTGAAATGAAGATTTAAATAGATGAACTGGGAAATTATGAAGAGAACAATTCATAAACTAGGTAATTATGAAGATAACAGTACATAAACTGAGACATTATGTAGATTACAATATATAAACTGGGAAATTATGAAGATTACAATACGTAAACTGTGAAATGAAGATTTAAATAGATAAACTGGGAAATTATGAAGAGAACAATTCATAAACTAGGTAATTATGAAGATAACAGTACATAAA